CTCTCTCTCTCTCTCTCTCTCTCTCTCTCTCTCTCTCTCTCTCTCTCTCTCTCTCTCTCTCTCTCTCTCTCTCTCTCTCTCTCTCTCTCTCTCTCTCTCTCTCCCCTCCTCCTTAGTGCAAGTTGGGGGAATTCCAAAAGCTTTTAAGGTTTCAGAAATTTCGTAAGATTTATACAGGTAAGCCATTCTGAACACAAGAATGAAGAAGAAGAAGAAGAAGATGGATCTCTCTCTTCTCTTGCTATCCCATCGTCCACCCTCTCATAATTGCCACCTCCTCTGATTAACAACTAAGTACGACAGTTAACAACTGAATGGACATATTAAACCAATGTCCTAATGATCCCCCTTACTGGCAGCACTCGAATAGCTGTCCCTCAGGGTTGCATGGATAGCTATGGCGTTTCATCTATGTGTTAGCACAGATGTTCAAAGGACAACGCAACTACTACCACGTCCCCTTCCTCTCTCTCTCCGCCATAGCCACACTCCCGCATGGAGCCCGTATTCAACCTCAACCGGCACCCCAACAGGGAACTTCCGGATGCAGTCTCAACCAGAGAAATGGAGATGAAGGTCCATGATAGCCAAAGGTAAGTCTCTCTTGTTGGTTCCCATCCCTATTCCCCTCCTCCTCCTCTTCCTCCTCCTCCTCCTCCTCTACCACTACTCTTCTCGTCCGCATACCTCCACAGCCTAGCTTGATTCCCTTCTCCCTCTATCTCCATAGCTCAGGCCTTCTCGCTCCTGCTGCATCTCATCCTCCATAGCAAGAAAGATTGACTTTTGTCACCCCAGGCTCTTCCGTACTCAGCCTGCAACTCTGCCTTACTCTCTCTTCCCTCAGGGCTGAGCAGCAGCATGGCTGCGCGCTGAATCCCCGGACAACCCCTTGCACTTAAGTATATCCTCTCGAGTCTCGACTCTCAACCCTTGGCCTCCACTACTACCTCTACTGGGGTATTCTCAGCCGCTACAGGTGCAGCCGCCCATCGTTGTTGTTTATCGTTGGCCATCGCTGCAGTCGACTCTTGGTGTAGCCGCGTGGCTATAGGTCGTTCTGCCATCACTGCGGTCACATCTTGGTGCAACCGCTTCGATATAGCTACGCCACCCCACCCTCCTTCTGTGCCTCACAGCTGCGCAAACCGATACCGCCACAGCTGCGCCATCCGACACAGCCATAGCTACCTTCTTCACCGGAATAGAATGCCCAATCATTATCATTATCACTGTATAGACTTGAAGTTGCCCCAAATACAGCTATGATGATGACCAGGCGTTCTATTTGGGTGTTATGACCCTGGCCAATTTCGAGATACACATCCACCGGAAAGAACAATGCCATCCAATTGCAGAAAGAAATGAATGAACTTGAGAGGAGAGAGAGGATCAGAAGAAGAAGAAGAAGTAAGAAAGAAGAAGAAGAAGATGTACACCAGCAAGGACAATGACAAGGCTCTTCTTCTTCGCCCAACAATCTCCTCCGCCTTATCTCCCCCTTCTCTTATTCATACAAGAAATAATAATACAATGTTGAATGACTGGTCCAGAATCAATGTCCGAGTCCCTCTTCTACTGCAG